TAATCGGTCCTTTTTACAGGTAGTGGACTCCAGTCGATGAATTTAGTTGCAAACATGCATTCACCAATGTCAATACTGTAATTCAAATGCGTTCAGACGATAATCAATTTTTCTAAAACGACTTCTAATGCATTAATTATGTGCTGTAACAAACAAATTTCGACACATATAGACTATTTATTATTATTATCATTGTCAGTATTATTAATAGAATTATTATATCTATCAAATATAATAATGCATGATCAATATTATTATTATATATACACAAAAGCAACAATGATAATAACAAAATTCATGTATAAACAGTTTGTGACGACCTCCTTGGCGCATCTTCGACTAATGATGTGGCACTATTCATTATTTCGAACTGATTGATATTCGACGATGGTTTATGCAGCAGTACTCGCAGTTGCCGCAGTGAAATATTTACGTCTCTGAATAATTGCATCTGAAATTCTAACTGATAATTGAACATATGCATATTCAATTCTTAGACACTCTTGTACGCTCGCTCCTTTTTCGTTTTATTAAAACAAATATTCAAAAACTTAAAAATATTCAAGTTATTCTCAGATTACCCTAAGCAAAAAATAACCAAAAGCATAATTCAACCAAGTTCCAATGTCATTATCGCCACTGCTATCATCATACTATCAACATTACCGTCAAAAATGAAATGACGACCATCAAACCCCGACAAGAAAATATGGACTACAAACCTGGAAAATGCCAATGATAGTTATAAGAAAACCGATAACATTTCCGAGCACATCACTTGCACCCAAACATGACCACTCTTTATACAAGATCGATGAAGCGAGTATCACGAACGATGTGAAAAATACATAATATATTGGCGTTACCATTGATGTATTATACTGATCCAATGATTTATTCAGATATACCTTAAATTAATTAATTCATCGTTCACTTACATCATTCAACTTTTATGCGATTCATTAGCACTTCATAATCATTAATAATATACAACAAAGATATCATTTCGAACGTCTATCACGAGTCACCAGTTCATTGAAACTGGCAATTAATTTGACTCATTTCATTCACCTCGATAAATTATCAATTCATTTATGTAATTCGCTTCACTGACATGCATTATTCCTTAAACTCGCTCGAAAGCGGTGCTAAATTGACTCTTGAACATAAAAATGTATGTACCCACTAAGCACTTCATTCTCTTATTCACTCATTTTTCTGACTAATCGTAAATATCAAGTGGAAACGAAATAGCGCATAATTNAAAATCATTCGAATCAAAACCCACATTAGGCCATAACTTTATAAAAACGGTAATCCAAAGTGAATTGAATGACAAACGAACCAACTGAACCGAAACACACGCAATAACGGCTGCTAACCAAAACCACGTAAGCGCATTTGTGAATTGTTGTTTACCACCGATTGATTCCTTGATCGCTAAACCTAATCCTTTCACGGAAAGTACCGACAACGAACCAATCACTGAGCAAATCGCTATGTACACCAAAATATTCGAACGACCGTATCTCGGCGCTACGAACACTATCAGAAATAACGATACCACTATGACGCCGATTACATATAAGATGAATACTGAAATTACGATCCTTTCGTTACGATGTCATAAACTTTCAATTATTCCTATTTCTATCGCAATTTTTTCAGTCATCACAAAATGTTTTCCAGCGTCATAACCTATACCTAGTTGTATATTTCCAACAAAGAGGAATCTATTTTGAGTCAAATGTAATCTTGTATAATACAGCAATATCTGATTATGAGTACGAACAGAAAGATTGCGAATAATTCCAACTCGCCATAATTAATTTTGTTCAGATTTCTTCAATCTCTCACTTACCTTCAATTGCATTTTCTTTTATCAAACCACCCTTTAGGTATAAGCAACTGACTCACATCCGGTTCAGCTCAGAATCAAATTTGTGGGTGACAATTCACATATCAAATTACATCCGACTGTGATAAACGAAATGTAAAACCAATCATTCTTTACAAAAAAATATCGACTGATCAAATAGAACAGACAAACACGTTCAAAATCGCACAATTGAAAAAAAAATTAGCCAACCAACCCACCAGCATCTCGCATTTTCAACGCCAGGTCAGCCATCGATGCCACCTCTTCTTCTTTCGGTGAATGTATCACGATCACGGTTGATCCCAGCAAACATACTGCACAACCAATTTTACCCAACAAATTCAATCGTTCTTTCAGCAATTTCGACGACAGAACTGCTCTGGAATAGGCTGCTTTCATTTGTTTTCCTTTCCTCTTTCTAACTCACATCACTCTAAATTTAATTATTTTGCATTCAATCACACTGCTTACACTTATTCGCTGTACGCAATCATGTGAGCTATCAATTCTGTTGTCATTGTTTTGATCTCGTACCACGAATTCCTACTTAAAATCGATCACAAAATGCATCTCTTGTCGAATTCTTGCGCCAGTGAAGAAGCCCACAGTCAAATGTCAACTCCGCGTTAAAATTCTCCGATTTTGTACCAAAAAAAGTTTCACTCTCTCTTTCTCGTTTTATCGAGACTGTTAAACCAATTTTTGTTTCGATTAATTCTCCAATAAGCAGTCACCGTGAACGCACTCAAGAAACCAGCTCAGCCCTTCAGACGACGTAAACTGCTCAACAAACATCTCAGAGGCACAATGATGTACTCCTCACATAATCAATACCACTCACAAGTATATATCAACAATTACGATCTCGAACGAGTCACTGCGCAACTGAGTGTTTATTTTACACTAACTTTAATCAGAAATCATTTCAGAGCGAGAAGTTCATTGAATACAGCGAAAATCAATTTCATTTTTAGTGAGTGAATTGTGGAATTTGTTCTGATCGTAAGGTTTATATTGCAGAATGGATGGAATTGGGAATAACGACGACTGAATCCAATCAAACTGATCCAATGCGCTGTGAAAATGATAATTTCAGGAATTTCAAAGATACCAATGAAAATTTCAATCAATTGAGGCTAAACAATGATAAACCGGATGA